AGAAAATTTAATTACGGATTTTGAAATGGTGCGTGGGTGGGGGCTAGGTGAGATGAATATGTAGAGATTAGGTTTAGGCATTGTTTGAGTCTCCCACCGTGAAACAAAAAGTCAATTTATGTTGCCTAACGGTCGGAATTTCTAAATGGCCGATAGAATTTAAAACAAACAGCAGCTTAATTAAATTGTTATTAAATAAAATTATTAAAACTTAATTACCACCTGATTTGTGAAAAAAAAAAAAATTAATCCACCTGTTTCTTGCAAATGAAACTTTAAAAGTAGGTTTCTAGGTAATTTTCTCTTTTCTTTTGGGGGGAAAATTATGATAAAATTGGGTGGTAAACAGGTCGAGCTAGTAATCGAAAAATTAGGACAAAATTAGAAGTGGTAAATGGATCGAGTAATTCATCGAATCGGTCGATGGATAGCTCAAGCTCGTATTTAGAAAAGCTATGGGGCGAGCAGAACTCGAAAGTTTTTTACAACTCGGCTCTTTTTATGCTTATTTTATTATCCTTAAAGAATAAGCCAGCTCGTGGGTGGCTTGACTTGGTCTATGAGGTCCATGAACCAAAAGGTTGAGTTGAATCTAGTTTGTGGACACGAGTCGAGCTGGTATAGCTAAGAACTGAGTTGATCCATTGTCACCCCTGGGCGGAACTTCTGTATTTTCAAATAGTGTGATTCTGGATCTTTAACTGAAGTGACGTTTCAAGTCTTCAATTTATTTTAATATATGAATTAGAATCGTTACATGATGAAAATTGTTAATGCGGAAGTTAAAATATCACGCAACTTGAAGATGGACGTCAAGTTGTTCAACGATTTTACTCTCCAATTTTAAATCACGCAAGTTATATATGATTTCTAACATCAAAATTGTCTGATTATGTCCTGTGGAAATTCAGATTCACAAATTTATATACATTAGGGACTTAAAACCACACTTCTGAAAGTGAATATTTAGGGCTTGGTAAATAGCCCATACCCTAGAGAACAATGCGTGATTTACTTAAATTGACATAACCCTATTTTTTTTTTAAAAAATCCAATAGCATCTAATAATTTGCTCAACACCAATTTAGATGACAATGATACTTTTGTCACATTTCATTTTTTGAAAAATATAGTTGTGATCTTACTACCAACTAAGATGGAGTTATGGGTCGGTAATAGGATTATTTATTTTCGTTTCATTGCTATTTTATTTTCTAGAGAAATGATGGAGATTGATATTAAATAACGACTTTACAAATAAAAATAATAAAAAGAAAACTCAAAATAAAAATAGTTATTGTAATTGCAAGGAGAGTCTCTATAATTTCTTGATGAGAAAAATTAGACCGGCCACATTTGCGACACTCGACTAAGAGCTCCAAACAATAAAACTATCGACGACCATATTATTACATGTAAGTTTTAAAAAGAAGTGATATATTTTTATGTCCAATCTATACTCAAAATTCTTTTTGTATATGTTGATGTTAGTTACTACGACGTTGAGGGACGATGCATAGTCAAAGATATTCATTGTAAAGCTAATTGTTAGTGATAGTGATTTGATGACAGTTGACGGTGTCAATAAATGTATCACTAGGTACGTGTATTAACATGTTAATGTTAACATATTTTTGTATTTAATGGTCGAACGTGCGTATTAAACAGTGCTCATCATCGTCAAAAGAGTATTATTTTTCACAGTCAGCAATTGTAGTAATCATTCTATGTGTCAGTTTATTATTGAAGTATTAACTTGTTATTTGAGACAATAAAATTACAGGAAATTAATATCCCTAATAACAAGCCGCCTCATATGATAACGCGTAGGACGACTACAGTAGTCGCCGACTACAAATATCATTATTCCCCTCAAAATTAGGGAAGAAGGGAAGAGGAAAAATAACTTTAGATCATGTTGCTATGATCGTCGATGTCTTAAATCATATACTATATTTAATAGATATAGCAATAAATTGAACGGAGTGACGAATATCATCCATTTGAAACTTGGGCGTTTGGGTGTTAAGGAAACTCCCTGAATATACCATATATGAGGAATTGTTCAGTTTAGCATTCAATTTTATTCTTTTAAAATTCATTTGCTATTCATCTACACTTCTCTACATCTGAGCCCTACTCTCTCCAATATATTTTTAATATCACGACACATCATATTTTTTCTCTATAAACAGGACGCCAACATATTTTTTTTCCCCAAAGTGGCACAGAAATCTTGACGTCTTTTCAATTGCTAAGATGTGATGTGTCGAGATATCAAAAATACATCAAAGGACCGTAAGTTCAGGACAATAAGTCTCAACCCTGCATCAAATCATTGCAACATTTTCTTTATCTATGATTTAAAATAGAAACAGATCGACAGTCAAGAAAATTGTTGCATGTACAATGTACCCTGCCTCCCACACCAACTTTTGAGATTTTTTTTTAATATAAAATCATGTTTGGTATCGATTGAAATCTACTAAATCAAAGTTAACAATTAATTTTAATAACATATTTCATGGAATCCATAACTGTTTAACTTTTATCAAAATTTACTAAAAAATTGATTTTAATATTCACCGAACAGGGGTAAAATCACAATAAATTTGAATTTCGATAACATATTAATTTTAAAAATTCTCTGACGATCGTACGCTAATCGAATCTACAATTTGTTTATGTTATCTGAAAACTTATTTCGAGAACTACATTATGAGCATATCGAATAGTTCAAACAGATATAGAAAATAGTTAAAAATATATTAAACGCGAGTCTTAAAAACAGACGTCTAACTTGAAATTTTTTTAAAAAATTCAATTATTTTATTAACATTTATTATTTTTGCGATACAAATTTCTTAATGTAATTTTCATCATTTTATTAGAAAATTTTATATGGAATATGACGTCAAAAATTTCGAAATTTTACATCAGAAAAAGTTATATCCATGTAAATTTTCGGATGTAAAATTACATGGGGTATAATTTTTTTGGACGTAAAATTTTTATTGTAAAATTTCTCCCAACTTCTTTGCAAGTTCGATTGTGCCCCCTAACTTTTAAGGTCTACGTCCGCCCCTACACCGGTGCTCTACATGTAACCAGGCCTACGTTCACAGATGGTTTGATGATTGTGTGTATGCACGCACACTCGAGAGTGTGTACATGATATTGGGATGACTGGAGGGCAAACTGTTTTTTGACTCGACTACACAACGATCATGAATGAAAGCAGGTGTCCATAACTACATTCTGAGCAATTAAATACAGATAAACTGATAGTTACTGGAAACACAAACATGTTACTAGAATGTTTTTTATGATTCTCCAAGATTTTTACAGAAGACATTTGGTACTCAAGAAACCAAATTAGAAACTATTTTGAGATACGCCTGCACTTCTTCAAGAACATGGCTGAACACATCACGCGAGTGACAATTTGGCAAGTGTTAGAGCCAATACTCGTACCCCATTCACGATATCCTCGATGGCAGCAAACTCTTCGGGCTTATGGCTATATCCTGCAGAAAGAAAAGATACCACTAAAAATGTTAAGGACTATTTCTGCCAGAATATCAACTTTGCATAGCTATGTATTTACATTACATTGCTAGTCTTCTCAGCAAGACATCAGTGTCAAATGAATGCCATCTTAATTTGCACATTTGGCAAAGCTTAAATTATAATTTAAAGTGGTCAAACATACTTTTTGTCCATACTAACCCACATCTTACTACCCACTTATAATCCACACATTCCATAGAATCCACTGCTTATAAGCATTTAAAAGCACTGAAATTAGCACCTCAAGAACTAGCACGAGGAGAAAAGTGTGCATAGGGTGTTTAAACGTTTTACGAAACTAAATTTATAAAGATGGAAAAATGAAAAGTAAAAAGATCATACCTTTATAACATGGAATGAAAATCATGCCCATTGGAGATATTCTGCAACCATCAACATTGAATTGTCAACAAATACAAAACCACCAAGTAAATAAGTGAAAGTTGTGAAAAGATTAATATTACCTCTGTCCAACAATTTGATCAATAGAAAAGTATTTATTTTAAAACTTATTTATTTATAAGCATACCTTTTAAGCTTAGCCAAATATGCTCTCGATCAATTATCTTGAAATCAATGGTGTTCATAAAATGTGAACTTAAAGGGTACTCGAAGAGTTTCAATATTAAAAGTTCTCTCCACATAAATTACCTGGCCATGAAAAGTGAATCGTGATAGGCTCTACTGATCATCTTCTTGTAAGTCAAGTTTAGTTCTTGGCAGGCTGATTCCGTTGCCATGGTGATTAGATCTTCAGAAAGGGCTGGTGGATCTTGATTGACAATTTTAAATTCTGATAGCTTGACACCGCGGTTTTCAGATATGCTTAGAGCAGATTGATGGATTTTCTCAATCACGACATTTCTCCTCTTTTCATCAATGTCACGAGTATCTGCAGTTTATAAGGAAAATATGGAACAGTGGAGAGTATTGAGTGGACTGTCTATTATATGGCCATTCAGTTTGTGGAGATATTTCGCAATTAAAAGGCATTATATGTAGATCAGAAACATAGCCAATATCCCTAGAACGCATTTTACAATCTTTTAAGTAGTAATCAAGTAGCATACCAATCTCCAGGTGTGATTTGCTCGGGATGCTGTTAATTGCTCCAGGATGCAACTCCAGAATACCTAAAACATAGCATTTTCGTTTTTCAGAAAAAATATTTCAATTAGAATAGAAAAGGTACTACTGTAATGATCACTTTGCTTAGTAAGTGCAAATTGCAGTTTTCACTCTGGATGGATATTTGTTCTTGCCCAAGCCCCAAGTGTCAAGAATAAATTCCTGTTGCTTTTAATGAAATAAAATAACAGAACGCAATACTCCCATGAAGCTTCCTGTCCCTCCCAAGTTTATTTCATTGAAACATATTTTTTGTTACATGTACAATTCCCAATTACTAGGTTTTATAGAACAGAGAGCAGCCTTCATCAATAGGCGTATTCTCTGGAGGAGAAAATATCTCCAGCCACACTTTCCTTCTAGACATACACAAAGATAGAAACAAAATAATCTAAACTTAGAAACAAAGGATCTGTATTAATTCCTTGCATAACAGCTTCTTCTTTCCAAGTCTGATGTTGACTGGATTATGTGTGATGCTACAGTGTGCACTTGTTTCCGTCAACACTCCCCCCTCAAGTGGGCACGTAGATGTCCTCCATACCCAACTTGACTAAAGATTCGTTGAAGATCTTACTTGATACAGCCTTTGTTAGCACATCCGCAAGTTGTTCTTTAGACCTGACAAACGGAAGAATAATGAGCTTTGAATCTAGTTTCTCTTTGATGAAATGCCTGTCAACTTCCATGTGTTTTGTTCTGTCATGTTGCACCGGGTTATGTGAGATATCGATCGCTGCTTTATTATCACAGAAAAGACTCATCTCCCTTCTTGTTCAAACCCGAGCTCTAGTAGCAATTTTCTTGGCCACAACAATTCGCAGATCCCTTTTGTCATTCCTCGAAACTCTGCCTCCGCACTTGAAAGAGCCACCACGTTTTGTTTCTTGCTCCTCCATGTGACAAGATTTCCTCCTACAAATGTAAAGTACCCAGCTGTCGACTTACGATCAGTTACACTTCCAGCCCAGTCAGCATCCGTATAACCTTCAATTTTTAGATGTCCATTCTTTTGAAATTTTATCCTTCTGCCAGGAGCACCCTTCAAATATCGAATAATACGCATCACAGCCTCCATGTGTTCTTCGGTGGGAGCATGCATGAACTGACTCACCATACTAACTGCATAAGTTATGTCAGGTCTAGTATGAGAGAGATAAATCAATTTCCCAACTAACCTTTGATACCTCTCTTTATTCGTCGGAGATTGGTCCGAGTCCAGTCTCAGTTTTTGATTTTGAATTATCGGTGTCTCTACCGGTTTACATTCTAGCATTCTAACTTCTGTGAGAAGATCAAGAACGTATTTCCGTTGTGATAGGAAAATTCCCCCTTTGCCTCTCGCTACTTCGATACCAAGGAAGTACTTCAAGCCCCCCAAAATTTTTATTTCGAACTCCTTGCGCTCAAGTGACTCAATTTCCTCCTTGTCGTCTCCTGTAGTAATCATATCATCTACATAAATGATTAACACAGTGATTTTACTTTGCCTCCTTTTAACAAACATTGTGTGATCTGAGTCACTTTGAGTATGGTTGTAACTTTTCATCGCATTGCAGAATCGTCCAAACCAGGCTCTAGGTGATTGCTTCAGACCGTACAAGGATCTCTCGAGCTTGCACACTTTAGTAGCTGAACCCAAGTACCTATATCCAAGCGGGAGTTCCATGTAAATTTCTTCCTCTAGATCTCCATGGAGGAATGCATTCTTTACATCAAACTGGTGTAGAGGCCAGTTTAAATTTGCTGCAAGAGATAAGAGTACTCGAATTGTATTTAGTTTTGCAACAGGTGAAAAAGTTTCTTGGTAATCGATCACGTATGTCTGGGTATACCCTTTTGCAACCAATCGGGCCTTATACCTCTCAATCTTTCCTTCAGCATTATATTTTATAGTAAATACCCATTTACACCCAACCGGTTTCTTACCCTTTGGTAGATCTACAAGTTTCCAAGTGCAATTTTCTTCGAGTGCATTCATCTCAATTTCCATTGCCTTTACCCATTTAGGATCTCTCATAGCATCCTCGACTCTCTCAGGTATTATTATACTGGACGTAATTTCATTTGCAAACTCCTTTAAAGGGTCTGGTAAGTTCTTTGTTGAGGTATACTTAGCAATTGGAAACTTACTTTCCCTACTAGTTCCGTCTTCTGGTTCATACTCATACTGTTTTGGTGGTATACCCCGATTAATTCTTGGAGGTAATTTAGTCTGAGAAACTAGATCAAGAGTAGAACTTACCACATGAGTATTCTCACGAGATTCTAGCCTTTGTGGTATCTGGTTGGATTGTATCATTTCTCTATGCTCGCCTTCAACCCAAAACTGAACTTCTGACAACTTCTCTGCATCGTGGTAGTTTAACCGAGTGGGGTCCAACTCGGTTGTTTTTCTTTTCCTGGCATAAACTTTAAATTTCGGATTTATCAGAGCAGGTTCTCTGATCGTCCCCCTTTCCTTTGATGTGCAGCATTCTGTCGCCCCTCCTTGCTCATTTGAAGGTGTACTAGAGGTGAAAACCCCTTCTCTGACCAGATTCTGATGTGACAAGTCAGATAACTGCGATTCCTCTATCTTTGTCTCCCCCTGAATCGAAGTTTGGGACTTGCCAAAAAACGGCTTGTTTTCAAAAAACGTAACATCCATTGTGACAAAAAAATTTCGTGTAGCTGGATTATAGCACTTGTACCCCTTTTACTGAGCCCCAAACCCTAAGAAGATACATTTTTCAGCCCGAGCCTCGACCTTAGATCGTAGGTGTTTTTGTATATGAACATATGCCACACATCCGAAAATTTTTGGAGAAAGATTAAGGATAGATGGGATGGTAGTATAAGTAGATAAAGCTTGTAAAGGGGTCTTGAAATTATTCACTTTTTGAGGGAGTTCGGTTGATCAAGTACACAGCCATTGAGACGGCATTATCCCAAAACACTTGTGGTACATTATTCTCTAGTAAGAGGGACCTAGCAATTTCCAATATATGTCGATTTTTTCTCTCTACTACACCATTTTGTTGAGGAGTTCCGACGCACGAAGTTTCATGCAAGATTCCCTTCTCTTTAAATAACTCTTGTAGTGTTTTATTTACAAACTCCGTCCCATTATCACTTCTAATCACTTTTATCTCCTTCTCAAATTGGGTACCAACTATTTTATGAAACTCTTTGAGGGACCTCATCTTTAGTTTTTAACAAGTAGAGCCATGTCATTCGAGTGCAATCATCGGTGAATAAAAATCATTTACACCCCGATTTAGAGACAACCGGGGATGGACCCCAAACATAGGTATGAACCAAATTAAAAGGAACAAGATTCTTATTCAAACTTATTGGATAGGTTACACGATGACTTTTTGCCCTAACACAAGTCTCACACACAAACTTCTTATTTTCTAAGCCTAAAAATAAAGAGGGAGATAATTGTTTCATATACCGAAATGACGGGTGCCCCAATCGTTTATGCCACAACCAAACCATTTCCTCTGATTTTGTAGATACCCCCTTTGCCAAACAAGCGTTTCCAATCTTCAATTCTTCTAAATGATACAATCCTTCCCGCCTAGTACCACGGCCAATGATCTCCTTCGTGAGAATATCCTGAAATACACAAAAATCAGGAAACATGAGTACTACACAGTTGAGATCTTTGGTAATTTGGCCAACCGAGATAAGTCTCGTAGACAGAGAAGGCACCAACAAAGTATTATTCAAAGTTAACCCCTTGGAGATTTTCACATCCCCCGCACAAGTTACTGGATACTTGTCACCATTAGCATTTAGAACTCCATTTTTCCTCGGTTTCATGTAATTAATTAAATCTTCCTGAGAAAAGGTCATATGATCGGTAGCTCCGGAGTCGATGATCCAATCAATTTTTTGAGAAGAAATAGAGGTCATACCTTCACCTACTCCTTTATCTTTACCTTGAGTTTTACTGTCAGAGGTGTAACTTGAAGCTGCAAGGGCGTGACTAGAGGAAGCACCTGTTGTGTCCTGCTGATGCGGAGCGGAAGTGTGGATCATGCCTCCAGGTGCGATCTGTTGCTGTTGCACGACATGGGGCTGGAAAACGCCTGCTGGTGCTGTTGCCTGCTGCTGCACATTTTCTCCAACCGCCAACGCACCAATTCCTTTTCCTCTATCTGTCTGTTTGCCGACAAGAGGCTTTCTCAGACCCTTCCACCAAGGCGGATATCCAATTACTCGATAGCAACCTTCTTTGGAGTGTTTTGCACCGGGACAATGAGGACAACTCTCCTTTTTTGGTTTTTCTTGGTTATTTCCCATCCGAACCAGCCCCCCTTCATTAGGTTTATAGCTTCTTGACAACATTGCCAGCGACTCTTGCATCGTATTTGCTCCACCTTTAATCATCACATCTTGACGACTAGCTTCGTGTCTCACATAGCCGTAGGCTTGCTCTATTGACGGGAATGGTTTTATCTGAAGAACTTGGGCGCGAATTGCGTCAAACCGATCCTCAAGTCCATCAAGAAAAATATACACTCGATTTTTCTGGATAAAGAGATTAAATTTATCAATATCACCTGGAGTATCCATCGGATTTGGACACCTGAAATCAATCTCTTGCCACAACGCTTGGAGCTCGTCATAGAACTCTTCAACGGTTTACTCTTCTTGCTTGAGCCTTGTGACTTTCCTGTTGAGTGCAAATATTTGAGTTTCGTCACTCCCATCGTATTAAGTTGTTGCCAATGCCTTCCAAACATCTCTTGCTGTGGAATAGCGGATGTACTTGCTGCGTAGTCGCGGTTCTAAGGAGTTGATAAACCAGCCCCTGACGATTACATCATTTACCTCCCACTTGCGAAACTCGGGGCTTGTTGTAAGGGGCGGTTTAGGGTCACCCGTTAAGTGTCCCATCCATTCTCGACCTTTGACATGCATCTCCACGGCTTGACACCAATAAGTGTAATTAGTACCATCCATTTTCACGTCGATCGGATTTGGATGGATAACTCCCTCGGTAATGGCAACGGCTGGGTTACGCTCTGTGCCGATTGAGGGTTTGTGATGGCAGTGCTCTGCATCGCCGCCATCTGGGTTTGTTGGAGGGTCACCAATTTGGTGAGTTGTTCTAACACGGCTGCCATGTTTACAGCCTCGCCAGGTTGAGGTTTCTCTGGAGGTGTGTTCGCCATTTTTGAATCGAGGATGGATAGCTCCTTAGAGCGATATAGCACAAAAAATTGAAGTTAATGACAAAGAAGGACAACAATTTCTCTAGCTATACCATCCGGCAACCATTCTCTGATACCATGTTGATTTTAATGAAATAAAATAACAGAACACAATACTCCCATGAAGCTCCCTGTCCCTCCCAAGTTTATTTCATTGAAACATATTTTCTGTTACATGTACAATTCCCAATTACTAGGTTTTATAGAACAGAGAGTAGCCTTCATCAATAGGCGTATTCTCTGGAGGAGAAAATATCTCCAACCACACTTTCCTTCTAGACATACACAAAGATAGAAACAAAATAATCTAAACTTAGAAACAAAGGATCTGTATTAATTCCTTGCATAACAGCTTCTTCTTTCCAAGTCCGATGTTGACTGGATTATGTGTGATGCTACCGTGTGCACTTGTTTCCGTCAACAATTCCTAATCTCTAATTCCGGGAGCAATAATAAGCAAACAGAAATCGGAAAAAGTGCAAAGCAAACCCATGATTTTATAGTAGTCAAACCTCAATGTCAAAGCTGCAACCACTCCTGCAGCAGGCTTTCTTTCACGACTCTGAGTTTCTGTATCTCTAAAATTAACGTAGCCCTCAAGTTCCTCAATGTATCAGAGGAAATTAGGGCGAACTAATGCAAAATATGAATGTCCAATATACTCCTAGAATATAAAAACACGGTCAACAACCTAGAACGTGCAACAATATTCTACAGATTTAGATTCATAAATTGCATGAATCCACTTATGCAAAACTCACCATCCCATGCTTAAAAGTCTAAATTTCCTGTTGACCAAGAATTGATCATATAGTAACCATAATTTAGGTACAAGTGTAAAGAAGTTCCTTACCAACTGTTCCTACAGTGTCGATAGATCCAGATTCTAATACAAATTTCTCAACAGCAAGAGCCAACTCTGCAGCAGCCAGTCCTGCATCATTTCTGCTCCACATGATATACAAAATGGGTAAGATCATATAGTAATGCACTCAATTTGATAACCCAAAACAAAAATTGAGTAAAGGAGGATGCTGAGTCTTGACAACAGATGAAACACATTACGAAGGCTTATCTTTTGATTTTGCCAATTAATAGACCAAGTATGTATAAGAGATGGTTTAGGTTAGATAATATTTTCTGACAACTGAGATATTATAATAACTTCTAAAACCATCCTCAATTAGCTAATACGACAAGGAAATATTACCTCATAGGCATCAAGACTGCTCCTGCATGGCCTCCATTGCCTTCAAAGTCCACTTTGATGCTTGCTGGAGCAGCAATGGCCGTCACCACACCGATAGATGTGGCTAAAGCAAATGCAAACCAGTTAAGCAAGTGATAGTAAGAAAAATCGTAGCTTTTCAAATATCGTGTGATAATGAGTAACAACAGCATTTAGAAAGAAGAAACCCAACCTTCCTCTTCAAGTATTGGACCTTGCTCTATGTGCAACTCTATGAAAGCAGAATAACTCCCTTTCTTCAGAAACACGCTGGTTAAGTCCTCTAGATGGTTTGCATATCCTGCAAATTTTGCAGCATCAAAAAAGGAAATATTTTGACTATCTACTGTCCTCTCGAGAAGTTCCGCTAGTTCTTTACTTCCTGCCAATAGGCGGCTGCAAATTTTAGATAAATATCAGAAACTTCAAAGACATGACTAAGAACAAGATCATGGAGCACATTTACTGAATAAATTTAGCAACCCGATGATTGCGAACAAGAAAGAAAATATATTAGGGTAATATGACTGCACAATATGTCAACCTAACCTTCCCAGGCAGCTAATTCCAAAGCGTGTAGGCTCCTCTGATGTGAACATGATCACTTCCAGGGACCTTTTAGGTTTAAAGCCTGACCTGTTAAATCCCAATAAATATCATAAATAAAAAGTCACCAGCCAAATAAACAAGGGATAAAGACACGGAATCAGAAAAACCTCAATTTAACATATATTTTACTAACTGAACGCAACTAAATTAACTACTTATGTGGAGTGTATTGTTTCATCTGCATAGGTATCCATTCACCAATTTACTATCCATCCTCTAAAAGTTTTACATAAAATTGTTGACAAAGCTTTATCTTTCATTTGGCTGATAGGAACAGCAACAACCTTCTAAAGATTGAATAACCTTTCTAAATAATACTTTAAGGAGAGTGTAATGTTTTCTTCACTAGTTTAAAGTACGTATTGACTGCATACTTCATTTTTATTTAGACAAAAGAAGCTACTTTTATAAAAATGTAAAAGTGTAACACCTTTTCCAGGAACTCAATCTAGTTTTAATGATGATCTCAAGAAGGTTAGTGTAACTGAAACATTATTTAATTATCGAGGACAGCCAATTTTGCCCTTTTCCTAACTTTGGCAGGCCTTGAACACTGTTTGAAGTACTGTCAGAGCAAATAAATAAATTCCAACTCTAGAATTCTGAACTAGGGTCAAGCCTACATACTCCTTTAGAACATTAATGGCTTCTATGGCGCCCAATACACCAATTACACCATCATATTTTCCGGAGTACGGTATAGCATCTATGTGAGAACCTGTAGAAACTGGTGCTAGCTCAGGCTCGTAGCCATCCCTGTGTAAGCACAAATAAGATTCAGTATGAAGAAACTATAAAGAGGCTTGGAAACACACATAATATAAAGTAAAACAATTTGATGGAACTATACTGAAATAAAAGTTGGAATACCGATTGAACGATGTTGATACATAAATAATATGTCTAATAACACTCAAAATTACCCAAGTACTACTGTATATTCATTATGTTCAGCAAAATAACAATTTTACATGCAGATAACATAAAGCATGAATAAATATTTTCGAAATGGAAACTGTTAGACAATAATTGGTATGGTAACATTACAAGATCCATAAGGAAGAGTTCTATCGCACCATCGACCAAATATGTTCCCGACAGCATCCTCTCTGACTGAGAGACCAGAAAGGCCCATTAAATTTTTAATGAACCTGCATGTCAATGAGAAAAAAGAAATTAAACATTTACTCATGCTAGCAATAGCTTTATATGTGTAAAGTGCAAGCTAGACATTAGCATGAAGATTAATTTTAATCTAAAACAACATTTTATAACAAAATGCTTAGTCATGCAACTTAAAAACCAAACTCAAACTCATCAATAATCCATTGTTTAGGCCGCAGTACTTTGCTGTTTAAGCCTCCAGCTACTGTTTAATTTCTACAAAATATCCAAATATCTCGTTTAAAGTATACTTTATTCATTAGCATTAGAAAACTGTTTTTACATTTGAGCATAAAAATTAGATAAGTTCCGGCTTGTACCTCCTTGCCAATACATCTTTCTCACTGTAAAGAATCCTAGTAACCGATGGTGCTGGCGTATCCGACAAAGTGGATAACTCATCAATCTAAAATCAAACAAATGAAGTATATTAAATTCTAGCTAGAAGTTGAATAAATTATAGAAATTTAAAGGTTTCATTACACAAAAAATAGGAACCGAATCGATCCTTAAGTAATAAACAATTTTAGTTCGTTTAAGATTGAATCTTTATTGTAAAATTCAGCAGTATTCTAAAATGAACTTATCGTGGCATTCAAGTATCAGCTGAATCAAGAACCAGTTATACACTCAGAAAACAGAAAAAAAAAAAAGGGAATCTTCTAACAAAATTCATTAGAAGATCAAGATTGAATCTTCTAACAAAATTCCCAATAAGAAACCACCAGTACTGAAGAACACACACAAATACCTGCTTCTGAAGGCTTTCAGAGTCAACAGAAAGTGATAATAGGGAATCTTGGGACTGGGGTTCATGAATTGGGTACCCAGAAAAATCCTCCATGATTTTATTTGAAGGGTCATTGTGAGATGTGATTACAGGGAAACCTAAGATGAAATATACAGAAAGAAGAACAAATACCCATAATTTCGGAGCCATTTTTTTGGTAAAATTATTTTCTTCTTTACAGTGATGAATTGTTGGAATGATAGGAAGTATATGGAAGTGATGTGTTAGTGTTACAGTGTCATCGTTCCACCGAGAATCTTTTGATATTTGTTAGTAAAAGGATTAAATTATTTGCACATTCAAATATGTAAAGCTCCGTTTAATAGCCTTATTTTCTATCGAAAAGGAATTTTTTTTTCCACCCTTAAAAAGCTGTTTGATAAGTAAATTTTTTCATAGAAAACGTTTTCCACCTTTTTTTAGGTACAATCATTTGATGTACAAAAGCTTGATTTTGTTTTTCCACCTATTAGTTGGGAAAACATTTTCCACTTTTTTTTTAAGTAAAGACAACCAATTCTATCAACTATTGTAAAAAGAATTTTCATTTTTGTTGACAATTTCTATGTAAAACAAAGTCAAATGAATATGGTAATTTTTTCTAATTGTTTAAATTTTTTTTTTAACTTTTTGGTAATTAGAACAAATTCTAGACGTATTTGTAGCAAAATTATCACTTTAAT